ATCTACAAGGCGTGTTGAAAAAACCATCAGTCTCCTCCCCCAGCTCATTTCCTGCTCCTTAGAGCCGTCCGCTTTCAATTCTTGCAGTTAATTGACTCTGGCTGGTAATTACGTGCCCTGTCTCTAAAGGACATACTCATATTTCTATGGTCAATTTTGTTTTGTTTTCGGCATTACCGATGGACACTTTATTATGGAAGAAGAGAATTTCAGCTTGGTCCTCTGCTTACCCTGATCACCCATATACACCATTTCCATCCCCTCCTTCTTCCCTCAGTATATCACAGTAGATCAATAGGTTTGTTTTTAATTACACATAATTGAATCATTTTGATGACTCAGAAGGTTAGTTATCACCGTAATGTCAACATACAGGATTTTGGTTCATTTTGCTTGTCACTGTGTTGTGACATTAAGCACCACAGTCAGGGTCCCAATAAGAAACAGATAACACTTTGCATTGGAATATGCCAAAGAAGGTCAAACCGCTATTTACAAAGCTGTGGGTCATTGTAGAAGAGCACAAAGGATAGTGCAGTAACTGGAACAGGGAAGGCTTAGTGGAACCCAAAGAACAGAGTTGTGTAAAAGAGGCCACTCCCAGTCAAGGGACATACACACTCTGAAGCACTCCTATGAGATTCCCAGTGGTCAAACTAAACTGGGATCCGTAGCCTTCAGAGGCAGAGACTGGATGGAGAGGGATGGAGCGAGCTGGAGTGCAATCACAAGATATCTGGCATGGCCCACCCAGTGTCGTCTTCACTCTTTGTTGCAGAAGCCATGTATTCTGGCTGGGTTGCCATCCCATCCCGGTTGGGGTGCGTGCAAGAGGCAACTGATCGATGTTTCTCTCCCACATCTGTGTTTCTCTCTCCCTCTCTCTCTCTTCCTTTCCTGCTCTCTAATTGCCTCATCCACTTGTGCAGACCATAGTTTCCAGATTGCTTTCTTGACTGAGTGTTATGTGTGCTGCCTTTGTTCACTATGTTGTTGGCTCCTTTTTATCTTTATGTGTTCCCTCCTGGGTTGGGCAGATTGTCCAGAGAAGATCATTTGCACACCAGTTTGTAGAGAATGCCTGCCTTCTGGAAGTCATTGTGTAGGTGGGCGGTGGAGGGTGTCTCAGTATTTACTATGTAACTTCCCACTGCCTTGCTCTGTCTCCACTGACATTGGGATGCCTCAGAAAGCCTTCAGGAGTTTGACCCTCAGAGTTTTACTCTCTGCAGAGAATAACCTTTGACCTCTGCCAGAGCTGAAGGAGTCATAAGGCTGGGATCTAAGCAGACTTCCACCATGTTTAGCCCTGACCTTACCCTCCCCCACCCCCAAAAGTGTTAGGGACTGTGAAGGCCTAAACCTTTCAGTGATGAGTTGCTTCTTAGTTTTCCCTACTGGCAGATCAGGAGTCAGCTTTCCTGGTCTGCTAATCGGTTACCTCCTGTCCACCTACTTTCTAGCTTCCAATATTTTATTGCTGTTATTTCCACTCACCTTCTTTGTTCTTGCTAAGTTTATGTCTAACAGAAATAAAATTCCCTTTATTGTTACAGTAGTGAGATTTGGCCGTCTTTATCCTGAAGCCTGAAAGAGATTTTAGAAAGCTTTCCATGCAAAGGGTCAAAAAAGGCCTTGTTGCTCTTCTGGGAAGGCTGATAGTTCTGTGAAAAATGGGGTTGTCTAAATTTCACTTGCTATTCAAAGTGTAGTTCTAGGACTAGGAGCATCAGTATTACCTGGGCATCACCCACGTGCTTGTTATAAATGCAGATTCCTGGGCACCTCCAGTGGTATTGAATCATAATTAGTATTTTAACAAAATCCTAGGAGAGCCCCCTTGCATGCTCAAGAGTGAGAAGTGCTAATATGAAACTTTATTCTACTTCTGTAATTAGACTAAGCTAACATGTATGAATTTTAATCTGGTATTTAAAAATCTTGTTGCATTCCTATACTAAGTTAGTCTCCAAATTCTACAGGTTGCCATGAGATAATAAAGAGGAGTATATAAGTTTTCATAAAAAGGCTCCCTTTCCCCATTTATATACCGGGGTTGGAAACAGATGTGAACCAAAAATTCTGCGTTGCTATAAGAGATGTCAGACTGGTTATGTTCAGATTTTTTTAGTTGCCCACAGTTCTTTAGGTTGGTGATGGTGTTACAGAACAGCCAATGCTGTTTCAGAACATTCAGTGGGGTTCTACTGCTCACCGCCTGCAGGGAAAACTCTGGAGTCAGAAGTTTGGTAAAAAAGGGCTTGTTTATTTAAAGGCTATACAGTTTTGGAATCCTGGAAGGTTTCTGCCTCAGAGCCCCGCTAGCTTTAAAACACCCAGAGATGCATAATCCTGCTGCCCTCTGCCAGGCCAGTTCCAAAAAGTGTCTGGAATCCCTTTTCCCATATTAAAGTACCACCCTTTAGCCCTGGCTGGTGTGGTTCAGCAGATTGAGGGCTGGCCTGTAGGCTGAAGGGTTGCCGGTTCCATTCCCAGTCAGGGCACATGCCTGGGTTGCGGGCCAGGCCCCCAGTTGGGGGCATGTGAGAAGCAACCGATTGTTTCTCTTCCTTCCTCTCTCCCTCCTTTCCCTTCTCTGTAAAAATAAATAAGTAAAACATGATAAAGTACCATCCTTTGGGGAACGCAGATATCTATAGCACCATCATTCAGGCAGTTTGGCTGGTTCCTGGTCACTGTTTGGCTCCAGGCACCTCTCCCAAGTCTGTGCTTGCCAGAGTCTGGAGCAGTTCAGCCCACACTGCCACCACTTTCTGTGTGGGAGGGGTGTCGGGAATATTCCCAGATTGCGCAGGACCTGAGGCCCACCGGCCTCAGGAACTCAGACCTGTGTGGCTGACTGGGCTAGCCAGGGGAGGGGAAAAGCTGTTTGTTCTTCTGAGCCTGGCATTTTAAAGGCTCGGCCCAGAAATCCATGCGTGACAGAATGTCTGACTTTTCATCAGTGTGTACCAATGTCCCCCATTTTTGCCAGCTCCCCAGTGTTTTTGACTCTCTTCCGGCTGCCCTTTTGCACAAGGGTGCAATGTTCCCAGCCATGTGCAAGGGCACACAAGCGTCTTGGTCTGAGGCGGGGTGTCGGCCCTCACAGCTCACGCAGGCTCTGTACAAGCTTCTGCCAGCTGCGTCACGAGCTGCTGTCTGCCAGGGCAGCACGTGTTCACACAGTTGCATTGCCTTTGTTTACAGTAGCTCCAGGGTGTGGGATGGCTGTCATGCAGTTTTCGTCCTCTTCCTGCAGACCTTCGAGGGTGGGTGCTGGCCCTTGGGGTTTCTACCCTGCTCCCCACTAATCAGACCAGAACCCTCTGTTACAATGGGACGTCGTAAATTGGTTAGACTGAGTCTTTGGTGACACTCTGAGCTGCTAAAGTCAGAGGGTGGCAGAGGACAGAGTCATTAGTTTTATGTCAAGCGTCTATCTTTCTCAGTGACAGAAAAAATGTTCAATAAATGATTATGGAATGAGTAAGTCAAATAAGATACAATTTCTGTGTTCAAGATATCACCAATCAACAGGAAATAAATTGATAATTATCATACAGAGTTGACCAGTTTGAGGAAAGAGTAGTACAGAGAAGGGGTATTCAACTCAGCATTGCTCCTTAGAAGAAGGAGCCAAAGGGCTAAGTCTTCTGGGTACAGAGCTTGGTGGGTTCAGAGCAGTGGCTCTCAGTTCAGCAGGTACCAGAATCACTTGGAAGGCTCATTAAAACAGAATGCTGCACCCTGAGGATTCCTGATTGAGTAGGCCTGGGGTGAGCCCAAGAATGTGCATTTTTAACAATTTCCCAGGTGATGTTGATGATAATGATTTCACATTTTGCAAACCACTGGTTTAGAGAATTACAAATAGTTCTGGTGGCTGGAGGCAGGAGGCAGGGAGTGGTAGGTGACACTGAAGGCAGAAGCCTAAGGAACAGGGATTTCATTGTGGAGGTTGTAGGGAGCCATTGGCAGGTTTTTCAGAGGAGAGTGATGGACCCCCGTTTGCCTTTTGGAAAGATTCCTTTGGGTGTGATGTGGAGGGTGGATCAGTGGTGGGGCCAAATTGAGGGCCAGAAAGCCAAATAAGTGGTTAATTGTAGCCATGTAGATGAGCAGTATAAGCTTGGAATAACAGGGAAAGAATAAATTTGGAATAACAGGGGAGAAGGAAAGAGCCCCAGAATGTGGTGGCCAATTGGAAATGGGTGGGGAAGAGAGGGAGGAGCCAATGAGGACCATCAGATTTCTGGCTGGGTGTATGTTGGGACTGTGTTACTCAACACAGAGAGAGACGTGGGTCTGAAGCAGGGTCGGGGGAGAAGAGCAAAGGAGGTAAGTTGAGGGCACAACATATTGAATTTGAGATGCCAGCAAGGTATCTGGGCGGGCATCTTCAGTAGACAGTTTTACTTATGGGTCTGGAGGCCAGGAGCGAGAGTCTAGTAAGCCAATCAGCCCTACTCCTTCCACCACTTCCATTATCTCCTTTATCATTTGTTTGGATCAAGGAGCGAGAGTCTAGTAAGCCATCCAGCTCTACTCCTTCCATTACTTCCATTTATCTCCTTTATCATTTGTTTGGATCAAACATTGTATTTGTAAAGAAACAACATTAGTACAACCTTGTAGGGGCCTGAGGACAGGATGATTTTAAAGATGTTTTCTCAAGAAAACAAATGTTCAACTTTATTGTTTGGGGAAAAAGAAAGAGTTGAAGTACGTACTAGTCTTCTAATACTAGAACAGGTTAATACAGCCACTTTCTGTCTGAGAGGCCAGTCAAACGGGGTTTTGGTAAGCTTGAAAGGGTAAAATCACTTGACTGGTCTGCAGACCATATGATGAACAGCTGAGACTAATTAGCTGGATTGTGGGTTTTTACAGAGATGCCTGATTTTGAAAGTTGATGGGGACAAACTGCATTTCAAAAGACTCTTTTGAAAAACTTTTGAAGTAGGTGATTCTGACTTTAACATTTTTCTTTGTATTAGACAAAAAGTAAGCTTTCTGAAGAGGACGTGTGATTGGAAATTGTCTAATTGTTGAAGTGCTGCGAACTCCAGTCTCCAAAGTCTTAGAAAAACAGCCAAGGATTTATACTTTGTCAAGGTATGGTTTTACATTTATCTTTTTTTTGAGGAGTTTTGAGTTCTGCCATGTCAATTTTGAGATACTTAAAGTGTATACAATTTAACATAGAATACCACTGCACATATTAGTGTTTTTTTTTTTAAATCAGAGACTTCAAGATGTCTGCTAAACTTGTTTCATTTGAAAAGTGCATTTTCAATGACCAGAGAGTGGGTATGAGTACTGACTGCATTTTTCCTTTCTTTTATGTACTTTAATAAAGTAATAGGTTTTTATTATCAGATAATATGTTGATTAAGAGAGCTGACTAAAGAATTAAGTTACTCTGAGAGGCTTGTTCATCCTCTGGGGATTTTATTTACAACAATTCAAACTTATTGGGATTTTGTTTTTAATATTGTTAATAACTTTAATGGAGGAAAGCTTTATGTTAAGTATGTGTTTTAGTATAAGGTGTATTTTATAAGGTATATTTTTCTTGTGAATTAAATTTGTCTTCAAATTATTAATATTGTTAGGTGTGGTAATGGCATTGTGGTTATATATGGCAAAGTCCACTTATTTTGGGGGTAAGTAGTATGCAGCAATGAGAGATCTGGGTGATGAATATGATGGCACATTTTATTATACAATCCTCTCTACTTTTGGGTTTGTACTGCTTGTTTGTTAGGCCTGCCATAACAGAACACTGAGAACTATGTAGTTTAAACAATAGACATTATTGTCTTCACAGTTCTGGAGGCTAATAATCTGAGATAAAGGTGTCGGCAGGTTTGGCCCCTTCTGAGAGCTGTGAAGAAAGAATCTGTTCCAGGCCCTTCTCCTTGGCTTGTTGATGGCTGCCATCTCCTTGTGTCTCTTCTTGTCATCTTCCATTTATGAATGTCCAGATTTCTTCTTATAAGAACACCAGTTATACTGGATTAGAGTTCACTCACTTGATTATCCCTCTAAAGGCCCTATCTTCAAATAAGGTCACATTCTGAAGTACTAGGAGTTTGGACTTCAACATACAAATTTTGGGGCAACACAGTTCAACTCATAACAGATAAATTGGAAAGATTTCATATCACATTTTAAAGACTTGCCTACAAGTGCATTCAATAATCATTTGTTAAGCTAAGAACCTAGACTGTGCTTGGCTATTAAGTGAAGATGAAGGAGACATGGTCTTTGCCCCCTAACACTGGTTTAATCAAATGTATGGATGTAACTTCCTGTGTACGTGATTACTTATCTCTTCCATTGGGCTCCGGCCACTTTCCCAGTAGCGGTCCTGGGGGCGCAATCAGAGTCCTGGCACATGGGCAGGCCAATATCCTTTGAGAGGCACTTGGAAGGGCTCTCTTACCCTGAGTACCCTCAGGATAGGCTAGGAGAGTGGGAGGACCCTTAACATTCATCTAGTAAAACCGCCTCATTTCACAGGTGAAGAAATTGAGGCTTAGAAGTGCTAAGGTCCTTTGGCTGATTAGTGTCAGAGCCAAGGCAGTACCTGACTTCCACTTAGTGTGCTGACCGATGTTGTTTTGTTTTCTTTGCCACAAGTTCATGCTTCTCATCTAGGGCTGAATCCAGGGTCCCATTATGAGAAGTCACTGTGGGAAATAACCTTGATAAAAAGCTGACATTCTCTGTCAAGATTCTTGGATTATAGGTACTAAAAAAAAGGGGGGGTGGCTTTGGAGTATTTATTCATAAGGGTGTTTCATCCTTAAACAAAGGCGTTTAATCACATCTTGGCTGCTTTCTCAGCATCTTATATTTTCTCCTTATTCTTTCCAGACACAGTACTCAGTGGCCCAGCAGCCATTAGAATGCAAACAACAGTTTTTCTTCTTTCTTGCCGCTGCCCACAGGACAGGAACTGTGGCAGAAAGAGAATGCTAATGAAACCTTGCCAACCAATAAGATGGCACCATGGCAACCAGGACCTGTGCATGTTAGCAGGCCTCAGAGCCCAGGGCTACCTCCGCTTCTGCCCTCTCTAGACCCTTAGTTCCTGAGTGCTCAAAGAGGAAATGCTCACCACATTCCTCTGTTTCTGTTTTCCCTTTTTAGGATTAAAGCTTCCTGAGATATCTGCCCATCTTTTGCTATTATTGTTTCCTACTTCCCTCTGAGGTTGGTTGATTTAGAGCTAGAGCTCAGGGTTTAGCAAATATGATAGCTGATGAGTCATATAACACACCCATTAAAAACAAAAGCTGATTTTTGCATAAGCCATCGTTTCTCTTTCATGCGGTCTTTGCAATAGGATGGCTTCCTGCTTTCTGCGTTGCTGTGTCTGGGCGGGGTCCCTGCCCTCTGGGCGGAGCAGAGGCTGGATTCGATGGGGACTGGAGGGTAGGGAGTTAAAAAAATGAGGTAAGGGTGCTGCCAGGGAGATGAACTTGAACTGTTACTGCTTCTCTGGAGACAAGAGCCACTTTGTTCAAACAAAAGCTGAGAGCCTCGATTTTTTGTTTCCCTATTTCGTACTTTATTATGAAATACTCTACTTCTCTACTCCCTGATGTAATCTGCATGGGGATCCTTCAGCTATGAGTGATAGATTCATCAGTCAGCAATATTGAATGGATCTGCTGTTTCACAAGAAGAAGTTCCAGACTTTTAAGCTTACACCTCTGTGCTGTGGTGACTGACCCAGCTTAGAGACTATCATTTAAAAAAATCTTCTAAGTGTCCTTCCTGGATCCCTCTTACTGATCCTTACATTCTGGCCTTCTCTTCACTCTAATTGTCCATCTTATTTTTCCCTTGGCCTCAAGAAATCAACTATATTGGATGACTCTAAAATCCATATTGTTAACCCCCTCCTCCCCCCTTTTTTTTTTAGCTCTACTTTTGTTTTCCAAATGCCAATCAAACACAGCTCCCTGGATGTCTCCCAGACATGACAGACATTTAATTGGTCATGTCCCAGGCAGTATAATGTAGCTGAGAGATATCTGGGTTCAGATTTTGGCTCTGCCTTTTACTAGCTGTGTGACCTTGGAGAACTTAACCTTTCTGTGCATTAGTTTTCTCATCTGTAAATCAGAGAGCTCACAAAGTTGTTGTGAGGATTGAATTAGTATTTTAAAGGGCTTAGAAAAGTACTCAGTAAGTGTTAGTTATGATCATTTCAAACCATTTTTTCCTCTTACTTAATGATAATACCACGCATTCAGTTACCAAGCTAAAAGTTTTGGTTACCTTTAATGTCTATACCAGTCAGTTAAGAAGTTATACTGCTTTTCCTTCTTCCTAAATATATCTTGAATTAATCCCTTCCCCCTTATCCCCACTATCACTGATACAAGTCACTCACGATCATTCCCCATAGTCTCCTGATCCTCTGTGTATTCCCACTTGCCCTGTGGCTGCCACAATGATCTTTGTAAGGCACAAACCTCGTGTCCTCTCCTTCATAAAAGCCTGCGGTGGCTTCCACTGCCCAGAGGTTAACACATTAACATGTTAGTGCCATATAGGAGTCTCTACAGGCCTAGATCCCACACACCCATCTTTTCAGCTTCTGTTTGGACACATCTCTCTGGTCCCAATGAACCCATTAGCCACATCCATCTGCTAAGTCCCTTAAGTGCATCATAACCTTTTTCCGTCCCAGTTAGTCAGTCAGTCAGTCAGTCAGTCACCCCGGTACTTGATCCTTTCTCATGGCTCTAAGCCTCGCCTGTGTTTTGTACTTGAATATTAGATAGCTTTTATCTAATTCCATCAAAAATCAGTTACACCTTTTATTGGATTGGCATCAATCCATTTTGTTGACAGTGTCTGTTCTCTTCAAAGGATAATGCTTATTTGACATACGATGTGAAGTCCTTTACCACATCGTCCTGTGAACTATCCAATACTTTTGGCAGTTATAACTAGCACAGTAAGACAACAAATAAAAAAGGTATAGAGACTAGAAAGGAAAAACAGAATGGAATATTTTTAGCTGTCTAACAAATTATTAGAATTAGTGTAGTTAAGTAATAAATAAATATATATGTATATATATATATATGTATATATATCTCACAATAGTGACAGCAAATAAAGTACCAATAAGCCTAAGGGTCTTTATGAAGAGAATTTATGTATTGGCAACATTTTTAAAGCATTTAAAAGAAATAAATATGTGGACATAGATGGGTAAATTCAATATCATGAATATGGCAATTATCTCAATTTCACCTATAGATTTAATACAATCCCATTCAAAATTCTCTTATGGTTTCAGAGGAACAGAGATGGAAGTGTGAAAGGTCAAGGGTGTCCATAGTAAAGTGGAGGGGACTAGTCCTCCCAGATATAAAGTTGTATTGTGAAGTCATAGTAATTAAGGTCCTGTGACATTGGCTCAGGGGTAGTGAAAATGACCGAAGGGGCAGAAAAGAGAGAGCCCTTAAATAGATCTTCTCATATATGTTGAATCACTAGGGAAAGGATAATTTTTTTTTCAATAAATGGTACTATGACAATTAGGTATCCTTCAAGGAAAAACAATGAAAGTGGATCCTTCATACACCTTAACAAATTACCAATGGATCAAAGACTTAAATGTAAAAGGCAGCACCTTTAGGAAGTAATGTAGAAGAATGTTTTTATCACCTTATCTAAGGAAGGGTTTCTTAGGCATGATATAAAGAGAAATAACTACTAAAAATGTTGATAGATTTGAATACTTGAAGATTGAGCCACTGAAAAGTGCAAAGACAAACCACAAACAGGAAGAAGATATTTGCAACATCTGTAACTGACAAAGGACTAGTATCAGGAATATATGAAGAACTCCTTCCTGCATGCCCATCAGAAAAAGACAACCCAATAGAAAAACAGAAAAAGGATATGAATGTGTTTTTTCCATAAGCAGAAACTGAATGGCCAAAAAATTAAAAAAAGATGCTCAACCATATTAACAATCAGAGAAATGCTAATTTAGACCACAGAGTGTTACCATTTGGAGAAGTCTGACAATAAACACCAAATGTTGAAGATGTGAAGCTGGGAGTGTGAAACACTGTATT